AAGAAGATTAGGATCTCATGCAGATTGCCACCCATGCTGTATCATGTTTCCACGTTCTGTCCTGACTTTTCTGAAGCAACGCTTTTCTTAGGGATCTCATAGACAGGACTTTCAAGCAGCATGATGTTCATTCCCATGCTGGAACATTTATCTCTTACCCCAATCACAGCCACTGAGTGTGAAGATGGATGCCCACCCCACACTATCCTGCAGAAGTCAATCACAGCGATTCATCCTGATTTTTACCCTGCAAGAGTTCTGGTCCTCTCCAGAGATGAAGGGGCAAAAATCTTGGATTTTTGTGGGGTTTTAAGTTTATCTTCAGTACCCCTTCTGATACAGGGGGGATTAAAGACAAGCAGTAAGTCAGTAGACTGTCAAAAATAGCTCCTTCAAACAAGCAAGTGTCTGTCCTAGGTTGCACCAGTGTCTTGCCTTAGGAAGAGTCAATCCACTCTGCTGTTAGTGCTTCCTAGTATATAGAAGTAGATCTCATATGGAAATATACGAGTTCAAAGCAAACTAAGACCATATGGGTCATCTGAAGATAATCTATGAAGACTGGCAGGAAGAAGAACCAACTCCAAAAGAGGCCACAAAAATAAAACTTTCATGTCTTTCATGTCTCAGCCTTCACTGGGGATTCTGTAACTGCATTAATGCCAGTAAGGTAAACATATAAAGAAAGCAAAGATGCTTCTTGCAGCCATTGCCTGTTTGCTTTGCTGAAGAAGTTGTCCTATGCAGCTTTACAGCTCCACAAGGCCATTTCATGCAATGGTGGTAGTAGATAGTCTAGGATAAAGCTGCAAAGGTGTTAAGGGCAGAAAGCCGTAGTTAGGCTAAGTACTCAAGAAATGTTTATCTAAAACTATTCAGAGATTTTGCTAGTGTGATACACTGTTACAAGATGAGCATTGTCAATGAAAGGCCTTGCCAAGATTGGGCCAGCTTCACTGGGATTTTATCTGGGAAGGAAAAAGGGACTTGGGTAGGAGGAGAGTTACAAGAATTGCATTTGAATATTTTTATCAAATAAGCTTTTAATTCTGGATGAACTCTTCTGGATTGCACTACCTTTACAACAACATGTAGAATATGGAATTTCAGCATTTTTTTGTTTGAGGTTTTCAGTTCAATTTTAGGACAAAGACAAATTTCAAATTATTTAATGAATTTAATCTTTTTTCCTTCATACTGTTTTCTTACCTTAAAATCAGAAAGATAAACCATTTTGCTAGACCTTTTATTTTTGCTGACTGACTTAGTTTAAAGGACTCTTTAGAACAGCATTTGCCAGGCATGATAAACCTAAAATCAGCCATCAAAGCTAGTTCCAGTTATCCAAATTTGTAATCAATTTGCTGAAAGGATAGCCTTAAAATGTCAGTTCATGTAAAGAATTGAGAATTTACTTTAATAAATATGGGAACAGAACGAGTCACTCAGCCTTCCTGCAGGCTGTAACATATTCAGAGATTAATATGAAGGCTCTTCTGACAAACAGTGGCTTTTAAAAGTTCCAATAACATCAGACAAGTTTTCAAGACTATTGTATGAATAGATGGAATTTCTTTGAATAAATTTTCTGTTTTCCTTTTGTCTTATGACATATTGTTTCTCTCCTTGTGAAATCCAGTGCTTTATTTAAGCTCATCAGTTCTTCTAGTTACCTCATCCCAAAGCCCTTGATTTTTAATCCCTCTTCTTTCTATGGATGACAAATTGCCTGTACAACTCCTTCCTTCTTTAAACCCTGTTAATCTGTAACCCCCGATCCCTGTCTGGTGATGAGAGTCCTGAATTGTATGGAAACACTCTCCAGCATGGAGGCTCCACATAGCCAAAGTGAAGTCCTGCTTTCCATGCAACCAAGGGCAAAACTTCCAGATTGCCACAAGTGATGGTAAGACTTTCTTCCTCTGACAAGAGTGGAAAAATCAAGTTGGTTCTCCTGTCCTGGAGGAGCTGACAGAGGGGGTGAGCTGGGAGAAACCACATGCCACAGGTTCTCCTTTTGGGCAGGAAGGCGGGCAGCGGGTGGACATCCTTCAGAGCAGTGTTATCAGCATAGCCGCAAGAGGACAGGCATTGCTTTTTCCTAGCCTGTCCAGTGCAAAGCTCCTTAACACATTTTCCACCTGTGTCCTTCCCAGGCAAAGTCCCACCTTTCTGGAGATCACCCACAGCTTGGACATTTCCATCTTTTCATGTGTCTACATCTCTATAAACCACCTGGTTGGGCCCATGTTTAAGTTCTGCTGCTATCAGACATGGCTTCTGAGGGGTGTGAGCCTGTTTGGTTAAACCAAGCCAGGCTTGTCTCAGCTTTTGTCATGCTTGACTAACTACCAGATTTGCTAATGAGGAAGAGGAGCCTTTAGGAACCTTTATGAAGGAAATACAACAGATGGAATGGTCTTCAGCACCGCTTTGTTTCTCACACTCCGACCACATGACCGTCCTTGAATGCGTGCAGGTGCCATGTGTATCCAGCTGTGTGTTTTAAGGGATTAATCTGACATAAAGCAGAAACAGCAAACACTGTTGGACATTGCTTCACTGCACTAGTCCCCAGACAGTGGGGGCAGCTCTAACTGTGCCTCCCTCAAGGGTAAAGCAGACCCAAAAAAGATCCAGAAATGGCATTAAGATGCAGAGCGCTGCTGGTCCTCGGGAGGCTCATTTCGCCTGCCACTGGACGCAGGATTAGTGGTGCAGAGAGAAGAGCAAGATACTGTCTTCTTTGGCCGGATCCATGTGGTCGTTTTGTGC